TCTTTATTCTTTTACTTTTTTTATTTTGTTTTTAAGTCAGAGGAAAAAAAGCATACCTAGAGTTTGAAATCTAAAGGTACATTTTGGTGCTTAAATGAAGGTCTTTACCATTGAATTCCTTTGTGGAATGTATTGACAGAGGAGAGACAATGCAGGGCACCAGAGCCAGACATCATCTGACTGTGAGTATTATCATGCAAGGCCCTAAGTGAGTTCTGCCCTGCTCTACAGTTGAGCAATTCCAAAGAGGTTGAAGCCACGTTGACTAAAACATTTGTAAGAACAAATGAATACTTGAAGAGGCAACAGCCGTAGATTTTTGCTTATCTTCCAAGTCTATAAAGTAAAGATTAAAAATAAAATTCAGGCAGTGTTCAATATATACTTTTTAATAAAATATATATGGAAAAATACTAGTTTTCTCAGACTTTTCCTGATTTCTGAAGGACGCTATTTATGCTTGATTTGCTATTTTCCAACTCCAAATAAACAAATTACTAGCTAGAAAAGCATATTAAACATTAAATAGAGTTCAAATGATAAGCAATTTTCTGTGTTTTTATCCAAATACATTGTCTAACCATAAAATGTTTTCAAGGAATGTGAAAAATTGTACGAAATCCACACAAAAATGCCTCTGTCCTACAGGGATATTAACTTAATCAACCAGCAAATATATATTCAGTTCTCCAGTAGGCGTATGTTTTAGCCTGTCCAGCATTCCTTACCCATTGAAATGGGAATTAATCTTTCTAGTATTCTTTATTAAGCTATCTGCAATGTTCATTAAGATCTTCCCTGGCAAGTTATCCAGTATATGACTTAAGTTTTAACACATCAAATAGCGCTGACCTTACCCCTCAGTGCAAAAACCAGTAAAAACTCCTGTTCCCCAACCTATTACATGTGTCCTGACCAGCAGTGTTTGAAATGATAGCAACTTCAAAAGCCTACCTTTGTGTGCCTTAAAAACAACTTGTGGGCCCTCCCTGGTGGCGCACCACTAAGAAGATAAAGCCACTTCCGCATGTGTTCGATTCCCACCTGCCCCGGAGGTGACCACATGGTGTGGCAGACCTCTCCTGACCCGCCTGCTGCTCCCCTCAGCAGTGTACTTTGTCGATCTGCCTGTTCTGCTCCCCACACTGTCTC